ATCACCGAAACAAGAACCTGTGATTTAAAGTTATTTTTTTTATCGAACTTAAACTGTTATCGCTATTTTTGCAATAAATATTATAGTTTCTCTTTTAAAAATGTGTATTATTTTTGTATAAAATATATATTATATTCATTTAAATCAGAGGGAAGGTTATTCTCTCTCTCTATATATATATATCAACATAGTATTTTCAAGGAAACCAGTCTTTACTTGATGCTATGCGCGATAACTCCGTATAAATGTGTAAAAAATGGATAAGCCTTCAAACCAAGACGATAAAAATAAAAAAAATCGTTTGAATCAACGGCCTTTTTAAAAACGTAAATAAGAATCAAATTTTATTCAACCCTAGCACGTTATGTTATGATATGCTACCCCCCACCCCCAATTCACTAAATTTCGATCAACATTGAGAAAGTGTATTAGTTTTAAAACAATTCATTCAAATCCCAACGGTTTAGCTTTAGGGCGAGAGGGCTCATCACAAGCATTTTCTTTAAATCTGGAACACAACTGATTTGTTTATTTGTTTTATTTCCGGGGGGAGGGTGGGGGGGGGGGCTGTTTTTCATGATTTATATTCTCTTATCTAACTACATGTGTTTGCTGAATACTGTGATTTACGGAAACTGTGTTAACATAGCCAAAACAAAAGTCCTTATTTTTTTTTCTAAAGGTTCAATGACAAAACGTTATCTTTTATATAATGGTGTGGCTTTTGAAAATGTGAATGAATTCTGTTACTTTGGTTTATTTCTGTCAAGAAGTGTAAAAAGTTTAATAATGCAAAGAAACATTTAACGGAACAAGCATCAAAAGCAATATATATATATATATATATATATATATATATATATATATATATATATATATATATATATATATATATATATATATATATATATATATAAAGCACATTTTACAACAACTCTTAAACTAACATAACTGCCCTAAGTGAAGAAATATTAATATAGAAATTTCTTTGTGCTTTATATATGGAGTTTTACGTAAAATGCGCTATTTCAATTTACCATTTTATTGTCAGGTATAGACTTGTTTGATAAAGTCATCAGTCCAATTTTACTTTATTCTTGTGAAGTTTGGGGTTATGCATTTAGATTGATTAATTGTATATTGTTTAACGTCCCATTCGAGAATTTTTCACTCATATAGAGACGTACAAACATAATCGAAAAAGTACACTTCAAATTTTTTAAATTTGCTCTTAAGTACCCTAAATCGTATGGTGTACGGAGAAACAGGTAGATATCCGCTGTCAATATTTATGAAATTAAAATTGGTTATGTACTGGGCAAAAAATTTAACTGCCCATGGAAGTAAACTTACAGATGTGATTTATTTATATTTTTATGTGTTATATACATGTACATGTATATCGATGGGTCTTTTATATACCCATGGATAAAATGCATACAAGTTATCCCTAATTCTTGTGGATTGTCTTATGAATAAGGACAAATCAAACATTTCATAGCTTCAACTATTATATCAAGCTTCAATTATTAAAGAAACCCTAAAAAATCAATTTGTACAAGAATGGAGAAGCATTGTTAACAGTTCACCCAAAAGTATTAATTATAGAATTTTAAAACAACCTTCGGTCTTGAAAATTATCAGCTGAATTTACCAAAAGATTTCAGAATTACACTTACAAAACTAGGGACATGTACATGTAATCATCATTTGCCAATTGAAACAGGTAGATGGAATAATATTGACAGAAATTTAAGAATATGTACTAATCTGTGACTTTAAATTAAAGTATAATAAATTAGTGATGAATTCCATTATGTTATGGAATGCAAGTACTTTTCAAATGACAGAAAAATATTTTCTAAAATAGATATTGTAAAAATCCCAACACTTCCAAGTTTACATCGTTTCACGGTCCGGAGTCCGCATATAGCTCTCTCCTACAGAATGGGAGAGGATAGTACATTTTGGCCGTGCTACGATGCCAAGTTTAATGAACTTGTGAACACAAATAATGTAGAAATACAAAAATTGTTGGCAAAATCTGTTAGAAAATTTTCAAAACTGTCTGCCCTTCTTGAATCCTCCATATATATAACTGCTTATATGTCTTCTTCATTCTTTTCTTTATATATATACTTGTCTATTTTTGACCCTTGACTGTTATTTTTGTTTGTATATATGTATATATGTTTATATATACCTCTTGTATCAGTGAGAATAAAGAATTGAATTGAATGTGCTATATTTAAATTGAGCCTTCTTTTCAAGATTCAAACACCTTTCCAACTCCGGCTCCTACAATTCTCTCTCTCTCTCTTTCAAAGATCTTGACTCCAGTAAGTATGCTATATATAGCTCTAGATAGACATTACACATCTCCTACTAAAATTATCTTCCATCCCTAAGCTATTTTGAAAAGAAACACGGTATTGAAATAATGGTTAATATATATTTTCATACATCCCTACATGATTGTATAAATCATTTTTTTTTAAATCCCTAAAAAATGATTTAGTTAAAGTTTGCCAATGACCATGAAAAAATGTCCACTACACCAAAGTCCGATGGTGACGCCAAAGTCCGATGGTCTCGCCAAAGTCCGATGGTCTGCGCCAAACCCCGATGGTTTGACGTCGGTACGGACGCCAAAGTCCGATGGTCACGCCAAAGTCTGATGGCTCGTTTCCTATGATACACGTGCGCTAAAGTGCGATGGTCTGACACGCCAAAGTCCGATGGTGCGGAGAAACAATTAACGTTTATGACGTCACAATATTCCGACGTCAATCCTCAACGCCATGGTCCGTAATTCAAAACCAATAATTTAGGATGAGTCATCGAATACAATTTGACTGATTTTACTTAATGTTTGCACTCACCTTCAGGAGTTATTAGGATTAGTCCTTGCACACCACTTGGCTGATAAGGGTTAGTCCTTGTGCACAATTACACTGATTCTAGGATGGGTTGCACCCACCCAAGACATTAAGAGTTAATCTTTGTACACGATTCGATCATTGAATAGTTTTAGTCTCGCACTCCAAAAGATGTTTGACTGATTAGGGTTAGTTTCTCTCCCATCCAGGATATGTTACAGACTTTTTGACTGATTAGGGTTAGCCTCGCACTCATCCAAGAGATTAGGGTTAGCCTCGCACCCATCCGAGAGATTAGTGTTAGCCTCGCACCCATCCAAGAGATTAGGGACAGCCTCGCACCCATCCAAGAGATTAGGGTCAGCCTCGCACCCATCCAAGAGATTAGGGTCAGCCTCGCACCCATCCGAAAGATTAGGGTTAGCATCGAACCCATCCCAGAGATTAGGGTTAGCCTTGCACCGATCAGAGAGATAAGGGTTAGCATCGCACCCATCCGAGAGAAAAGGGTTAGCTTCGCAACCACTTAAGAAATTATGGCTAGTGGTACAATATATTTTTTGTGTTTTTACTGAACCATATAACGTTGGCGTTTAAATACTTAAAATTCATTTAATTTATTTTTAATCGCTTCACCTTGGCGCGGCATCGCAATTTGGCGCAGCAGTACTATGACGTCATAAACAATAATTATTTTTCTGCACCATCGGACTTTGGCGTGTGAACCATCGGAGTTTGGCGCAGACCATCGGACTTTGGCGTGACCATCGGGCTTTGGAGTCCCATCGCACTTTAAAGTCCTACATACATACATATACTATCATGCCTATAAATAAGAGAATATTTTTCTGTAGTTTTCTGTATGACAGCTCTTGATTAAAAAAAGTTGAAAGATATTATTATAATTATATAAATCGCTAACCGAGACAATCGGCCCTGAATACAATATAAATAATGTTTATCAGTGTAACAAATTTCACACACAAAAGATATAAGTATTTGGACTTTCCTTAAAGGTATATATATATACCAATCTAATTTAAAAAAATCAGACTTCTTAGCTAGATCCGCGCCGTATACACTCTTACGCAGAGTGTATACGGCGCGGATCTAAGAAGTCTGATTTTAATTAGATTGAGGTATATACAGATATAGCGCTGTATGATGATGTGGGTCACAAGAAAATGGGACATTTGAACTCACAGATCTAGACTGTATCGGAATTTTTAATTTTATGCATTTGTAGGAGAAGAAAATACATATTTTCATACAAAACAATATATTTCCAACAAAGACTTTGGCAAGAAAATTTAAAATTACAAGTTGAGTGAATTTGGGCGAAATTTACATGACTGTTCTGCATGTACATGTATATATATACATTTAATCATGAACAGTTCGTTGACTTGCACAATTCTAGTATCCATGTGTATGCATATATTTAAGTTTCTAATCAAGAGTTAAGATTTATAAACAGTCAATGTGCTTTGTGTAAGCTTAAATTATTTCTACTTAACATTTTATGAATTATTTATAAAGAAATTTAGGTCTTGCATGTACAACTTACATGCATGGACATTTTCCCCAAAACAGCACATTTATGGATTAGGCATCATTATACATGTATATGTACTTCATCGGAATGAATTTTTCTACTACATGCTTCTAATTAGTGTATCCTCCCCCCCCCCCCCCCCCCGTGTTCCGTACCTGAAGGATTCTTTGAGTTTTTTTTTGTTTTGTTTTGTTTGTTTGTTTTGTTTTTTTGTTGAATAAAATATTTTCTTTTACATATTCTCAAAGTATTACAACTGAATAATCCAAAATATAACCTAAAACTAGCCTTTTGTAAAAAATCTCACTCTATAATACTAATGTTCTCTTTTAGTATCAAGTGTGTGAATTTTAATAAAAGGCTAGTTTTAGGTAATATTTTGGATTTTTCAGTTGTGATACTTTGTGAATGTGTGATAGAAAAATATTTTATTTAAAAAAAGTCAAAGAATCCTTGGGATACAGAACACGGGGGGTGGGGGGGGGGGGGCGTCCCCAAGCACCTCTGTGCTGTGAATGGAACACCTTCTCCTTATTTTTTTACGTCGGGATCGAAATCCTTCCTTTTGCGTCTTTTGCGATGAACGGCAACCAAAGAAAACAAACCTAACTGGGTCAAGTTCAAGAGATGCTGAAGGAGAGACGGTACTTCGGTGCCAAGTATTTACAGAGCGTTAATCAACATACTGTCCCGAATTATTGTTGTCACATGACAACACAAAATAGTCTCTGCTTCCGTTGTGAGTTGTAAGTGTGCACGCTTTGTTTACATGAAGTGAATCATAAATCAGCTGATTCGCCGTTGATTTTTTTGTATCCATTGTTTTGTCGCGAATTTCCATAGTTAGTCACTGTAAACCATCCATGTGTAAATTCATATATTAAAAAAAAGAGATATTTTCACCTGTTGAATTAAACGAATAACGAAGAATAATATCTGGATGATTTCAGATCGCAGCTGATTTAGCAGACGAAACTTGGGTAAGTTAATCGTTACATTGGGGTATTCTTAATAGGTCACCTGAGGACAACAGTATTTAACGGTAAAAGCTATCACGATTATGTTGCATGCTCACTATATTAACATATACATTAATTTAAATTTTTCATTTATTTATTCATAAAAAAAAGACAAGTATGAAATTGCATAAAATCATGATAATTTAAATCTTTTTTATGTCAAATTATTTAGGAAGTTATTTGATTTTCATACATGAGGAAAATAAATGTGTCATATAAATTTAGATAAAAGGGAGAATACACCAAAATTTATTCATGATTGACATTTTAAGTATTTTAAGTTATTTACATTTAGCTTGTCTTTAAATTTCCTTGTTTAAAATGAGAAAGAGGGCTCATGCAGTCAAAAATACATGTATACAAAAATCCTCTGTTTATTTTTATCATTATTATGCCTACTCTTTATTGAACACACAGCTATTTATAGCAGTTGTTAAAATAGATTTTAAGTCTTTAGTAGAATACGAAAATAAGCATTTGTGAATGGGGACAAGTCACTGAGAGGCCAGATGTGCATTGAAATATTTGACAAGTGCACCCTGTAAAAGTTACAGATGAACAGGGATATATTAAATGCATTAAGCTTGTGTGGCCCTTGTTGATCTGTATAATGTCTACAGCTACATAGTTGATAACCCATTATTATTTATGATAAGTTATTTCAATGATTAGTTTCTATAGTACAATATAATCATGGAATGTTTAAATGTCTGCATTTTAGATGTGTTTCATGTAGTATTATGTCTTGTTTGGTATTTAAAGCTTAATATTATATATGGTTTCCTTAATTCCTATTTCCTATTGATACAGCATTTTTATTTTAAAACACAATTATGCTCATTCTTCAAGGAAATTTTTTTTTAAATGATGCCCCATAAGCTGATAAGCTTAGAACTTTTTCAATCTTTCATAGAAATTTTAACTCTCCTGGCCATGCACATGATGCATATGGAATTCCATCTCTGCAAAAATAAATACAATATGTAGTTCATCTGATGCTTGAACATTTTAAGATTAAATGATCTATTATAATTAAAATATTTTCAATGAAAAAAAAATCAAGATTAAAAAATGTAGTTTTCTGAAAAAATTCAAGATGAAAAAAATATAATTTTCCATCACCAAGGCTCTTATACTAATAGACTGTCTAAGTTTCCATGTAAAGTTGTATTATTAATATATAACAGTACGCGATTCACAAAGTCAAGTTACAGTGTACCTATGCTAGTTTTATCTAGTACATCATTAAAACTGTAAAATGTAGCAGAATTCTTGAAATCTGAAATATTTTTCAGAGGAATATTTTAAGTACCCTAGTATAAACATATTAAGTCAGTAGCCAAGTACAGCTGAACTTCGATATCTCGAACAAGGATATCTTGAATACCATGGATATGTCGAAGTGATTTGAAAGTCCCAAGCCTTTTTCTTTAAGTATTTTACCCTCAATATCTCCAACCATCGTATATCTCGAAGTTTTTTCTTGGTCCCTTTGAGTTTGAGATAATGAGGTTTGACTGTATACATCACTTAGTTAACAATTAAATTATTCAAAAATATGCCTATATACATTTATTTCATACAAATCTTCTATATTTCTATAGTATTGCATAGTATGGTATGAAATTTACATTGTTATTGTATGGAATTTGAATGGTACATGTAATGTTATAGATGAATGTTTAAAAATAGTAACAGTATGATGTACTATGTTGTTAGTATAGATGTATGCAATATGTTAATTTATTACCTAACCTACTATATAAATTGTAATTAGGCATTTTGAACTGTTTCCTGATTCTTTTTAATGTTTTTGCAAATCATGAAACAGTCAAAACTGTTTACCCGGTCACAGAATGAACTGTTGCATGGCTGAACTGTTCCATTATGACGTCATAGTTAATTTCCCGTACTTTACAGCTATAATATTGAATTATATATAAATTGAAGCATTTTTATTTAATTCGAAATTATCATCTGAAAAGTAAACCTGATACCAATTTAAATATATATTCAATTTAATATCATTTCAAAGAAGAGGCCATGAACACCTTTTCTGAGGGTAGTTTGGGAAAAATGTAGGCCCCTTTCATTCAGTATAGATCTTTGCCATAAACGTGCAATATTCAAATCTTTAAGACATCATTATGTTGTTTACTACATTTTTTTTCAATTTATTAGTGCATGATAATATCACACCCATTAATTTTTCTGATTTTACACCAATCGGTGTGAATATTTGATTACTATTCATCTTGTTTAGTTTGGTTTGAAAAATAATACAAACTTTTGTCAATGTATTTTAAAAGCCATTGATTATTATGTCGATATCATTACTTTAAGAAATCATATAGTAGGTTAGGTAATAAAACACTTATTTCATGACAACTCGGGAAACAGTCAAACTGTTGTCCCTCGATAATGGGGAAGACCTGGGAAACTGTTGCCCTCGGCCTTCGGCCTCGGGCAACAGTTTCCCAGGTCTTCCCCATTACCTCGGGACAACAGTTTGACTGTTCCCCTCGTAGTCATGAAATAAGTGTATAATGTCAATCATGTAATTGAGAGATATTCAAAATTGCCATGTTGTAGCTTTGCTAATTAAGAAATGATTAATTTGTTTGCTTCAGAAAACTTGCAGAGCAAAAATATTACTCAGTTGAAACATTTTTTTTTTTAGCCATTTCATTTACATATGAATCTCATGCAAACTATTTAATAAATTTCATGAAATAACACTGTAATGGTGTCAAGGTTGGATACATGTCAGAGTTACATTTACTGTCAATAATAATGAAACATTTCTAGAATGACATATATGATAAAAATTACCCTAAGGTGCCTTATATAAACTAGGAGACTAATTGTTCTCGAACAATTAGAGGTCTTTCCACCTTCTTTAAATTTCATATATTTTTCATATTTTACTCTCTAAAGATATGTTTCATACAAAGAGAATCCAGAAATGGCTTGAGAGATGGAAAAAAATAAAATTTTCAAAATTTTGAAATGACATTGACCTTTGACCTTGAATAAATATTCAAGGTCAAAGGCCAAGGGTCACATTGCACTTGACCCCATGCTTTTACGACTTTCAGTTTTAAAGTTATAAGGTTTAATAGTAAGCGCAAAGACGTTAAAGGGCGATAACTCATATAAGGGGTCATCAGATACTTTCGCACTGTATAGATTGAAGTTGTGTCTAAAGACCCTGAAGACATTAGTGAAGGTTTTGTGTCTCTACGGTTTATGGTTTCAGAGGAGTAGGGATAACAAGGTTTTCAGTAAAAGGGGCAATAACTTTTAAAGGGGTAAATCTTAGGGGACAAGAATAAAATCTTTGAAATAGTTTTAAGAGGATGTATTAATGATGCAAAGATATTTAGTATATGTTGAAAGTCAAAAGAGATATAAAAAGAACTTAATTTCTCATATTTTGAATGACCTTGACCTTTGACCTTGACATAAATTTCAAGGTCTGAGGTCAAAGAATATTATCCAGTTGGTTTCATGTCTCTAAGACTTATCGTTTTGAAAAAATTTTATTATTTGTAAACTTCAAAAAGTTTCAGGGGCAATAACTCATAAAAGGGGTTCACGAATACTTTCGCAATGAAAAGATTGAAGAGTCCCCTCAATTAGTCGAAGACATTGGTGAAGGTTTCATACCTCTACGGTTTACGGTTTCGAAGGAGTAGCGATAACAAGCTTTTATTGCGAAAGGGGTAATAACTCTTGGAGGGGTCAAAGTTCATATACGCAGGGTCAACTGTAAAAATCTTTTAAAGAGTACATTCTTCTAGACTATAAATCTTTTCAATAGATCTTGAAACATAGGATCACATCAGGGGGTGGAAAAATAATAATAATAACTAGTAGACTAATTGTTCTCGAACAATTAGAGGTCTTTCCACCTTCTTTAAATTTCATATATTCTTCATTTTTAACTCTCTACTGTTTATTTTTATACAAGAAAAACCAGAAATTGCTTGAAAAATGGAAAAAATGAAAATTTTAAAAATTTCGAAATGACCTTGACCTTTGACCTTGAAAAAATAGTGAAGGTCAAAGGTCAAGGGTTACATTGCACTTGACCCCATGCTTCTACGACTTTTAGTTTTAAAGTTATAAGGTTTAACAGTAAGCAAAAAGACATTAAAGGGCAATAACTCATAGAATGGGGCATCGGATCCTTTCGCACTGAATAGACTGAAGTTTTGTCTAAAGACCCTGAAGAAATTAGTGAAGGTTTGATGTCTTTACGGTCTACGGTTTCGGAGGAGTAGCAATAACAAGATTTTTAATGAAAAGGGCAATAACTTTTAAAGGGGTCAAACTTTGGGGACAAGTATGAAATATTTGAAATAGTTTTAAGAGGACATATTAAAGATGCAAAGATATAGAATATATGTTGAAAGACAACAAGGATATAAAAAGAGCTTAATTTCTCATTTTTTGAATGACCTTGACCTTTGACCTTTGCATATATTTTAAGGTCAAAGGTCAATTAATCTGATGCAGTTGGTCCCATGTCTCTACGACTTATCGTTTTGAAAATTTTTAATTATTCGTAAACATCAAAAACTTTCAGGGGCAATAACTCATAAAAGGGGTCGACGAATACTTTTGCAATGAAAAGATTGAAGAGTCCCTTCAAGTAGCCGAAGACATTGGTGAAGGTTCCATACCTCTGCGGTTTATGGTTTCGAAGGAGTAGTGATAACAAGGTTTTATTGCGAAAGGGGTTGTAACTCCTTAAGGGGTCAAAGTTCATATACGCAGGGTCAACTGCAAAAATCTTTTACAAAGTACATTCTTATGGACCATGAATCTTTTCGATATCTTTTGAAACAAAAAACCATTCGGCGGAAAAATAATAATAATAATAACTAGTAGACTAATTGTTCTCGAACAATTAGAGGTCTTTCCACCTTCTGTAAATTTCATATTTTTTTCATATTTTACTCTCTGAAGTTAATTTTTATAGAAAAAGAATCCATAAATGGCTTAAAAGATACAAAAATGAAAATTTAAAAATTTTGAAATGACCTTGACCTTTGACCTTGAACAAATATTCAAGGTCAAAGGTCAAGGATCACATTGCACTTGACCCCATGCTTCTATGACTTTTAGTTTTAAAGTTATAAGGTTTAATAGTAAGCGCAAAGACGTTAAAGGGCGATAACTCATATAAGGGGTCATCGGATACTTTCGCACTGAATAGATTGAAGTTGTGTCTTAAGACCCTGAAGATATTGGTGAAGGTTTTGTGTCTCTACGGTTTACGGTTTCGGAGGAGTAGCGATAACAAGGTTTTCAGTAAAAGGGGCAATAACTCTTAAAGGGGTAAATCTTAGGGGACAAGCATGAAATATTTGAAATAGTTTTAAGAGGACATATTAATGATGCAAAGATACTTAGTATACATTGAAAGACAAAAGAGATATAAAAAGAGCTTAATTTCTCATATTTTGAATGACCTTGACCTTTGACCTTGACATAAATTTCAAGGTCTGAGGTCAAAGAATCTTATCCAGTTGGTTTCATGTCTCTACGACTTATCGTTTTGAAAAAAAAATATTATTTGTAAACTTCAAAAACTTTCAGGGGCAATAACTCATAAAAGGGGTCCATGAATACTTTCGCAATGAAAGATTGAAGAGTCTCCTCAATTAGTCGAAGACATTGGTGAAGGTTTTGTACCTCTACAGTTTATGGTTTCGAAGGAGTAGCGATAACAAGCTTTTATTGCAAAAGGGGTAATAACTCTTAAAGGGGTCAAAGTTCATATACGCAGGGTCAACTGTAACAATCTTTTAAAGAGTACATTCTTATAGACTATAAATCTTTTCGATATATCTTGAAACATAGAATCACATCAGGGGGTGGAAAAATAATAATAATAATAATAATAATAATAATAATAATAAACAGAAGAATATCAATAGGTCTTTCCACAGAAAGGTGGAAAGACCTAATAAACAGAACAATTTCAATAGGTCTTTCCACAGAAAGGTGGAAAGACCTAACAATAGGGGTCTAATGAAATCAATGTACATTATACACTGTATATACATGTAGTATTAATAAGAATTGATGGAATTCAGGGAGTGGGCTTGATAATGTGTCATTGTCACCTTGTACTGGGATATATACAATATACATGTAAATACTCATAGTATAATCGAAGACATTTATTTTATACAATCAATTTGTAATTTTTCTTCAAATTTTACATGCTTCAGAGTTCCATTTTGAAAAATACTTCTATATATAAACAAAAAGTATACCTAAATGAGTTAACTTGTACTAATGGTTTTACCTAGCAAAAGTGCAACTTAAAAAAAAGAAATCTTTGCTTTTCATATCAATTATTTTTTATGCATATGTATTTACAATATAAAATTCATAATGCAGGAATTTTTTCTTTACATCATAACAAGGGAAAAACAAGTTGAATTGGGAAGTTTTAATTCTTAAAATTTAATATCTTGATTATAATATTTTATATTTGTGCCTTTATAAATTTCATTTAAAGTTAGCAATCGCACAAGGTTAAAGCATACAACTGTATATCAATTTTACACATCATTCAAGCATAAATTTTGACAGGACTTCTTTATTTCTTTGTTCATTGAAAGTGTTTGAAATAAGGTTTTCATGAAATGGATATTTTTTTTTAAGCATCATATAATTATTTCATATGAATTGGACCTCCCCCCCCCCCCTCCCGACCCCCCTCCCCCTCGCACACACACACTTTTTCGATTTTATGGGCCCAGAGTCTCTCAGAAGCAGCATTAATTATTAAACACTGAATAACTTCCTGTATTAAGATGTAAAAATAGAATTTTTATATGGCCCTCTTTTCATTACACCTTCCTTTCTCTATCTGATGGATTTGAACACTTAAAAAGCTACTGAATGTTGATGTTTTCTGTTTTACCTTGTTCTACTGTGTACACATGTACCTCATTTTAAGTACAGTCAAACCTCATTATCTTGAACTCAATGGGACCAAGAAAAAACTTCGAGATATCTGAAGATTCGAGATATCCATGGTAAAATACTTAAAGAACAAGAAGCCCATGGGCCACAACACTCACCTGAGTAACTTTGGCCTTGTGTTTTTCACCTGATTTCCCCTTTGTAGTACTTATAATGGTCATGATTTGAATAATTTAGAATTTACACTACCCCAGAATGCTTCCATATAAGTTTCAGCTTTTCTGGCCTAGTGGTTCTTTAAAGATTTTTTCTACATATTTCAATGAAAAAATTTGGATTTCCTATTGTGGCCCCACCCTACCCCTGGCGGTTATGATTTGAACAATTTAGAATCTACTCTACCCCAGGGAGCTTCCACATAAGTTTCAGCTTTTCTGGCCCAGTGGTTCTTGAGAAGATTTTTTAATGACCCAACCCAATTTTTGTCTTTTCTTGATTATCTCCCCTTTGAACAGGGCTTGGCCCTTCATTTTAAGAATTTAAACTTCCCTTTACCCAAGGATGCGTTATACCAGGTTTGGTTAAAATTGGCCCAGTGGTTCTTGAGAAGAAGTTGAAAATGTGAAAAGTTTACAGACAGACAGACGGACGGACGATGGACAACGGGTGATCAGAAAAGCTCGCTTGAGCTTTCAGCTCAGGTGAGCTAAAAAGGGATAGGGCTTCCAAATCACTTTGACGTATCCATGGTATTCGAGATATCGAAATTCAACTGTATACAGTATTACATGTATTCCTTAATATTACTGGTATGATTATGGCATAACAAAAGCTTATCATATAAAAATTTTAAGTTATCTCAAATGTGATCAGAATATATGTAGATGTTTGATTAATTATCTTGTGATCATAATAAGAAGGCACACACAACTGCAAATGTTTGATAATATAAGATGTCACAATTCCTACTTGACTAATTTTTTTTTTAATCAAAAGGTGCATGACTTAATTAATTTGAGGGTTTGTAAATTGGTTTAAAACTATATAGAATAATCAGGATACATGTACATGTATCCTAATTTTTAATCCCTTCAACATGTGCTCTGAATATAATTCTTCGTATATAACTATAATATAAAAAAATAGGAGTCATGCAATCAGAATGCTATGTCCTTTCCTTAAGTACTTAAACAGGTACCTTTATAATAAGCATGAACTGAAAAATGTACGTTTTGTTTGTTATCATTGGTTTGTGTACCTATATACTCCCGATACTTGACACAAAAGTGTCAGCAGTATCTACTGTTTGTATAGACAGGTATGTAGACTTAAAGCTCCTATTCCTCATTTACCTGAGAACAGAGCAAAAAGCATGAACCTTGTAAACTTCAAACTGTTTATTTGCTAATGTTGCAGATCCCTTTGAAGGTTGGATTTAGCTGTAATTTACAAGTAAACATTATTCATTTTTTCTTGCCTTTTGTATATATGAAGGTTTTCTTTGTCATAAGGAAAAAAATTAAAAAAAAAAAAAAAAGAAGAAAAGAATGACTATTGATGTGCAAATATGATTTAAAAATGTCTTTTCAAATGTTAATATCTGAATTTTGCTTAAATTTCCTTGTAAAACATTGTGCATAGTCATTAAGTTCTCTGTGTTAAGTAGTTATTTTCTAACCAGAAAAGATGTTTTGTTGCAGAAAAAAGTCCAAGATGGCCAAGGATGAAAATAATGAAGAACAGAAGATTGAAATAGAATTCACACCAAGATTTGACACCACCCAAGATACAGAGCCACCCCCCAGGAAAGGACCCCATGAGGAGGAGTTTGTTCCCCCTGATGGAGGCTGGGGCTGGGTTGTATGTTTCACTTCACTCTTGACTAATGGAACAGCTTTCAGTATCCTCAACACTTTTGGTATAATATATGTTTACTTGGTCAAGGAGTATGCTAAAGGAGATCATGCAATTGCTTTTAAAACATGTAAGTATAACTGATTTTTTTTTTGATACAAAGAAAGTATTCTTCATAGATATTCATTCACATTATGATGTAAGTGATCAAACATTGATATTAAGGTTAAATATTTTGGATTTTGCTGCAAATGCATTTTATCTATGTATACAGGAATGATAATTATAATCAATTTTTAAAAATTGATTTTGAAATACAAAGTGTATTGTAATATCTAAAATGATGGTTTAATAGTAAATTTATATACATTTCTATTTTATCATGTACATATTTATTCAGTCGTGCAATTTATTTTTATGCCCCCGTATCGAAGATTTGGAGATATGTAGTTTTTGCCCTGTCCATCCGTCTGTTGGTTTTTCTGTTTTTCCGCAAAAACTTTAACATTGCCCATAACTTTTGATTGGTGGGAGCTATGGCTTTCATATTTCACATGTGTATTCCTTGTGACAAGACCTTTCTTTGAGTGCCATCATATTTGACCTTTGAGTTTGACCTGCATGTGCTTTTGAAAAACTTTAACCTTGACTATAACTTCTGAACAGTTGGTGCTAGGGCTTTCATACTTCACATATGTAATCCTTGCGACAAGATCTTCCTTTGAATACCAACAATTTTGACCCTTTGACCTTGACCTAGGAGTTTGACCTACTTTTGAAAAACTTTAACCTTGACCATAACTTACGAACAGTTGGTGCTAGGGCTTTCATACTTCACATATGTAATTCTTGTGACAAGACCTTTTTTATACCAACAACTTTGACCTTTACCTTGGAGTTTGACCTACTTTTGGAAAACTTTAACCTTGGCCATAACTTTTGAATACTTTGTGCTAGGGCTTTCATATTTTAAATGTTTATTCCTTGTGAAAAGACCTTCCTTTGGATACCACAAATTGTAATCCATTGACCTTGACCTTGGAGTTTGACCTACTTTTGAAAAACTTTAACCTTGGCAATAACTTTTGAAGGATTGGTGCTACGGCTTTCATATTTCACAAGTGTATTTCTTGTGAGAAGGCCTGTCCTTGGGCTGCATTAGTTTTGACCATTTGAACTTGACCTTGATGTTTGACTTACTTTTGAAAAATTTTAACCTTTTCCATATCTATTCAATGGTTGCTGCTAGGGCTTTCATATTTCACAGGTATATTCCTTGAAACAAGATCTTACTTTGGGTACCAACATATTTGATTTGCCTTTGAGAAAGCTTAACCTTTGCTATAAGTTGCCATACCGGGGCATTAGTGTTTCACAAACACATCTTGTTTGAAGTTTAAAGCAAGCTTGGTGAAAAGTATTGAGTTAAATTTTGCCTACAAATGAGTTCAACGTTTTGATACATATATGTATATAAAGAAACCAAACTTGCCTTTCCCTTTTCTGGTTAAAAATTAAGTTGTTGAGGATTGGTATATCTGAGCAATACGCATTGAATGATGCTACAAGTACATTGCAAGGTGTTGCCCTATAGTCAGTATATCTTTGCTGTATACAGCTTACTCCACTTATATTGAACTCGCTTATTTTGAATTAGAAATAAATTCCCAGATTTTGCCTCTCATATTCTTTGCATTAAAATAACGGTTATATTGAAATCGGTTATATTGAAATTTCGCTTATATTGAAGCCACTGATCGGTCCCCACAGGTGATAATGAGTTGTTTTAATAACGGTTATATTGAAGTACTCCCTGGCGGCTGTCGTTACGGTTGGTGACAGTAATTATGCCTGATTGAGCAGTTGATATACAAAGGTGTGAATAATTTAGTTTTCAACATTTGTGTTTTAATACTGCATGTTCTTACGAAATAAAATTCTTCACTGTTCCATTTTTTGCGTCCGCGTATATAATACGGACATATTGAGGCTAAACAGCTAAACTTAATATACTTATCCCCACAGATCTAGGTAAAAAACATAACTTTGAAATTAAATACGTACTGTTAATTAATTCATATGCCTAAATTCGAAATAACTAAGGGATTAACCCGAGTACACTTACAATGAAATACAACCCCTGCGAGAGTATCAAGAATAATTCTTGAACTTTTAAGAAAAGTTCATGAAATATATTCTTGAATCTGCTCATGAAATATTCATGAAGATCCCATGAAGTTAAAATTGGACACTCATGATTTCATGAATTTTATTCATGAAAACCAAGTTCAAGAATATTCAAGAATAGTGGGTTGTTCATGAATTACTTACTACTCTTGAAAATTCATGAACTTCCTTATAGAATTCATGAAATCATAGTGTTCTGTGAATTTTAGCTTCATTAGATCTTTCATGAACATTTCAGGAACTTTTTAAGAATATTATTCTTGAATTAGGTAATTTGACAGAAGGCCAAATTGGCAAAACCATTGTGAGTACCCTCAAAATACATGTACATAAACATTCTATTTAAAAATTTGATAATATATAAATAATGACTACAATATTCTAAACTAAATGCTATGTATTAAATTAATTCATTGAATTTATAAATGTATACAGCTTTTAGCCAACACACTCTTAAACAATTACATGTACAGCCTGGATCAGTTTCAGAATCTTAAACAACGCTTGTGTTCTTCTTATGGCACGTTCAAGTAAGTCAGATGCCGGTGGTGCATTTGTTATCCCTGTCAACTTTGCTTCTTGACACTCACTAATTCATCCAAAATTGAAATTCATCCTTTAAATCATGACGTGGTTTTTTTTCTAGCTCTTTTACAATAGGCCTTGTTTTTCATTTCACGCTCCCTGAAATTACATATACATGTATATAAATGATATGCCAAATAGAAATAAATATTACAGGGAACAGGATACTTTTAAATAATATGGGAATTGTGGTGATGCTGCAACTGGAGGCCAGAAAAAATATAGGAATTACCTGTCTTTTATACAGAATACTTGGTCTTTAATTTATAAAGAGTCAGGAATCCTCAGAGACAAAGAGTCAAAGTCAATTTGTTCTAATCAGTAAAGAAAATTTAAAAATGATTTTAGTTTCAATTTAGAATCAAGTTTCCTTTTTTTCTTCAATTTGAGCAAGTCCAAGGGCACACGGGGGGGGTGTATGCCCCCCCCCCTCCCCCTTCCATTTTTTATTATAAAATATAAAAAAAAAATATTCTAAGACCAAAACACACAAGTTTTTTAAAATAAATTTTTATAATATATTTCATTAAAATTCATTTCATTTAACAATAACTGAAATTATATTTCTCTCCGAGTTTTTTTTTTAAATCACGTTTGTTTGGCATGCGTGCAACAAGTGTGCTAATCAACAAATTTGGAACCAAAATAATTAAAGAATTATGTTCTTACCACATGCTTTCTGTATTGCAGTCCTTCCTTTCGATGAATATAATAGTTAACACTCCATTAAAAAAATGTTGACAGAATCTAGATCTATCGGCAATCTTCTGACAATGCAATGCACATCTTCCTTCCTTTCAATCTATTGAAAATTTGGCGCTCGCATAACTGCTTAACTAATCAGTAATGATGTTATAAATCAGCTACCAGAAGCGTCCAATCAAACGACGTTTTCTAAAAACGATTGAGGTTGCGATTCAAATCATACCCGTAATATTAATTGGCCGCCAATGTATTCTTGTTTGGGGTACCTTGATAAAAAATGGCAAATAAATAGGCCTAGTTAATTGTGGACTGGTACTATTAAATAAAGTTTTACTTTTTTTATTATATTTATGCCAACGTTTCTACAAACTTTAAAAAAATCTTTGAATAAAAAGGGTGTGAAAAATTATTGATACGAATTGCCTCACCACCCGCTAAAAAGATGGCGGCCTTTTTGTTTTTCGGTGGGCGATAGAAGTTTGTAAACTTGAGAATTTACAATATAGACTGCATTGGAGGTTATATTTTAAATGCACACCATCCAAACAACATCCACAGAAAGACCAGCACTGTTCCGCCTGCATTCATCAGCTCACAACATGAGTAAGTTTTCATCTGTTTTATACATGTTACAATCAGGGGATGGATATCGTGTGCACAACCTGCAAGGTTGTTGTTTCATATGTTCTTAAATTAATTATATTTTTATGGCCCTATTTATTGTTTGGTTTGTTCGAATTTCAAAATGAGATTGGCAAGGCATTTGCTTTTTTCTCAAAAATGAAACAAGAGGGAGATAAAATACGATTTAAAATTATGTATACAGTGTTGTTAGTTGACAGTGTTTGACACAATCCGTGTCCTCACAGATTACTTAGTAGGCAAAAAGTACCGATATTATGTGGAAATATTTTTAGAAAGTATTTAAACTTAATATTTTTTTTAATTATCTAGCTTATTGAATTCAGGGAAAACGATTGTGTTTCTATTTATACATCAAAATTATTCACATAAATTGAAACTTAAGTCACAGGCATACTAGACGTATAGATTACTTACTTTGAAACTATGCAGATAGTTGCTGAATGTTTTGTTTGTTTTTGTTTTGTTTTTTGTCATTGTCTATTCATTTAAAATATAACTTCCATTAAGAGCGTACAATTTTTACAGGTCTAACAAAGAAACAACTAGAACTGAAATATCTCAAAAGACTGAAGAATCAGCGGCAAGAATCAGTTATGTTTATCAGTGAAGGAGAATTGACAGGAGTATGATTCTTATGGAACCAAGTTGTTTTGGATCTTCTCATGAAAGCACACAATTTGAAACTGACATCATAGACAAGACTAATATGATATCTTTTCAGATGATCGGCAACATGTTTATTAACCTCATAATTTTTATTTTCTACTTTAAGATGTTACCTTATAAAAAAAATAAATATATATGTTGTAAATTTAATGTAAATTTAACAAAAATGTTGCAATAGGCATGGAGGCTTTTTTTTAAATAATGAATTATAAGTTTTAGGGATCAAATAGTATTTTTTTTTTTAACATACTGGACTGTGAGTGATGGTTATCATTACTTGAAAACATTGATGATTCATGTATTTCTTAAATGGACATGAGAAAATACAATTCATGTTAATGT